ATATATATATATATATATATATATATATATATATGTCCTAGTATTTTTTAACAGGATGAAATAGTTAGTGGAACAACCATAACATCTAACCGTTCAGACTTACACTTTAAGCATCTTTTTTTGGAGGTTTTAAAACATTTTCTGATGCTAACTATAGTCAATTCTTGATTATCTCCAATGATCAAATCATAGCAGTAATGGGGGGCACTAAACTGCTAATTATCTCCACATCGAGTGAGAGGACATGTCTGTGTGGCTTTGGAACAAAAGGATATGCATTTAAGGAATTCATAGCAATTCAAAAGAACTTTATTCTGATCTTCTAGCCAGTGGGTCATTAAGTATTCAGGATTAAAGGACCTACCTTCCTTGATCTACACACAGCCTCAATGTCCATATCTATAGAGAGTAATATAACGTAAATTCTAAAAAAAAAAAAAAAAAAAAAAATCTGTATTGGGTAGCATGTACTGTGTCGCAGTAAGAAAATCAAGTAGATATTTATCAACTACAAAATAGAAACTGTTCTTAGTACACATTTTACACGTAAGGTGAGTTACTACATAGTGTAGATTTTTTCCGTAAAGCCTCTCACCTTTGATCTATTAGGATGGCAAAACTTCAGTGTGTACCTACATTCTGATACTCCATTCCATTTTGTACTCATATTCACACCAGTGTATTCAAGGTGTTAATTTTTTGTTTTTCACAAACTCTGTAGGACAAATGACTGTTAATTGTTTTTCCAGCAAAAATTCATTCTCTCAAGAGTATAAACATGACATACAACCTATTCAAACTTATATTTTTGAAGAGCTAAGGAATCAAAATTTTAATAGAAAAGTAAAAATTCTCTTTAGGTGTTGGGCATGATTGGTTACTTGGTATATTGTCTGTCTAAATTCAAGCAGCCCTTGCTAAGGATGATGGGACACTGATTCCCTATTCAAAGAGGCTCTTCAGTTATATACTCTGTGATGGGGGTTCTCAACTTACCAATAGACTTAGTTTTATTCTCATTCGCTTCTTTGTTGCTATAATAAAATAGCATGACCTCAAGCAACATGAGGGAGAGAGTCTACAATGCTGAAGAAGGCATGGCGGCAGGAAGTAGTAGGAAGAAAGAACAGGAAGTGGGGTGAGGTGACAAATCCTCAAAGCTCCCACCAGTAATGTACTAATTCTAACAAGGTTCCCCCTTCTAAAGTTTCCATAAATTCTTCAAACAGTGCTTCCAACAGTGGACAAAGCATTCAAATCCTATTAGGGATATTTTTCATTCAAACCACCATACTGCTTTTTGAAAATTATTCACTGACAGAGTGAATCCAGTGGCGGTGATAGTACTGAACTATTTTCAATACACAAAAGAACTGTGTTTCAGTGTACTCATTTGAAAAGAAGAGAAACTCTGTGTGAGAAGCCAGAACATGAGCCAAATAACATGTCTGTGGTTGAGGTATATTTGATCTCACCAGATTCATTTGGTGGCATCCCCTAAACTTGTACAGGGCTGAAGAATTATTTTTAGTTTACTTTGAGGACTGTATTAGTTTCATTTTCTGTTGTTGGGATTAAAATACCTTGAAAAAAAGCAATTTTAGGTGAAAATATTTATTATATGACAATTCAAGAATACAGCCCATCATGTTAGGAAAATCAAGGCAATGGGAGCTGAAATAAGATGATCACAATGTATCCAATACTAGGAAAGCAGAGAGGAATGAATATGTGATACTGCTCACTTTTTCCAGTTATGCCATGCTGGATGCTCTTCTCTGGGAATGGTCCCATATGTAATTAAAATGGGTCTTACTATGTCAATTAGCAAAATCAAGGAAGTCCCCCAGTGACATGACGAGATGTCTATATCCCAGATGATTCTTGAAACTATCAAGTTGACAACTGAAAGCAATTTTTACAAAGGCCTTATTGCTTATAATATTAGCAAGGGTTAATGGCTTTCAACAAAATGTATTGGTCCCAGAATTCTCAGCCTCACCATGTATTCCTTTGAGTCTTTAACATTTTTCAAATCACAAGAGACTCCAATTAAAAGGAAAGCAAATAATTGACACCTTAATCTATTATCAACACGTGCTTTAGATTTCAGTTGATATTCTAAGAATTATTTGGCAGCCAATTAACAATAATACCTTATAAAAACTTAGAAACTGTCTACATGGGTGTTCGCTGATTGAGGGGGAGATAATGGGCTGTATCTTGCAATATCTGTGAACCTTACACAAATTTATGGATATAGCACTGCCTTATAAAGTGTTAATGTGAGGAATATTCTAATCTTGAGGACTATTTCACATGTGATAGATTTTTGAAGTCCTATTCCAAGGTCTTCATTATTGTAAATATTTAAAGTAATACTTTAAATAGGGCTTGAGGATTTAGCTCAGTGGCAGAGCATTTGCCCTGGGTTTTGGTGTCTAGCACACACACACAAAATAAATAAAAAAAAAAAACAAAATAAAACTTAAAGTAATTCTTAGATAAGCATTGTTATGGAAACCTTTTAAACAATTTTAAATATATAAGAGCAGTTTCATGGGTACTTGCTCCCTGACCATAAACCAAATAATTTTGAGAGGTCAAAGCATTCAGTGAATAAAGTATATAGTAATACAGTCCTGGCTTTCTGGTTTTCCTGTATTATAAGATTCATCATTGATAGCAACAGTTACTTACAATTTCATACTTATAACTAATTGATACTTTGTTTGTTTGCTAATCTATGGTAGTTTTCACCCTCATTTCTCTCTGATTTGCCCCCAGAAAAACTTATAGGCAGAAGGAAATAGATAATATATAAAAAGTTGACATATGAAATAGATCAAACAAGCAGACTCAATATTAAACTGTATACTAAAGATGATCTGGGGATTCCATTGTTGATTTTTCTGTATGTTTTTCCATTACTCAAAATGTCCAAGAACACAGTCAAGCTGACAGGATGTGCTCCTTTCGCTACTGTATCTGGGAAAGTTCTGGGAAGAGTATTTCCTAAGGCGGATCAGTGTTTGTGTAAGTTCTCATGATTTGTAATAGAAAGTTCTATTGTGGTGCCTCATTTCAGAGGGAAGATTTCTTAGGTTCCAATGATCAATATGATTGCAGTTAGTGAAATATAGTAGTCTGTAGATAGGATGGCTTTCACGTAGAACATATGTTGACATAGGTAATACAAATTTCCAATGACAGACTGACAATCAGGGCTTCACTGATTTCTCATCTACATCAGATAGCTTCTGATTCCTTGAATTTAGCCTCCATTGACTCTCTCTCTCACACATTTACTATGTGAAGACAGAGTGAACAATATGAGTTGAATCACATCATTCCAACCTTCTTAGTCTCTACTAGCAAATAATTACCATGGAGGATATTTTTTGTCTATTGCGTTTTTATTATACTATGCATCCCATCTCATTTTCTATGTAATTTCTCAGCTTACTGGGATGTTTGGGATTCTCTGCTAAAATGGAAGGGCACCTTCGGATGGCTACCTCTGTGTTTTTACTGTTCTCTTGGTTCACTGAATTCTGAAAATGAAAGTGTGCTTCACTTACTGCTGTCTACATTCTGTCCTTATAGATGCTTTTGTCAAATGCTTTCTCCAGTCTAATTTAAATGATTTACAAAATATGGCTTTGATCACAGCCCTTAGAAGAGAAATATGTGACACATTATGGTCCATGTATCTTATAAATAGGAAAGACTTCTGGATGGCCAATATGGAGTTTTCTTATTTCAGATTTCCTGAACTACTTCAGAACACATCATCTTACCCTAATCTTGAACAATCACTTTCCTTTTAGGCAATAAATGTATTTCAAATCCTCCATCTTAATCCTATTTTCTAGAAGGCAAACTTTCTTAATTCAGAGTGTTAATCTTTCCTCTCATCATCAATATTGTATCTCATTTTATTGCTTTTCTCTGAATACCTTCATCTATGCAGATGCTTTGCTGATAATGAAGTTGACTGGAACTGGAGTTAGATGTTCTGTCAAATCTATATGACCTGTGTCTTGACCTCATTCATCCATTTTCTTTGGCAAATCTATTTTCCAACTGGGTATAACTATCTTGGAAAGGTTCCCGTTAGGGTCATTAAAAAAAATGTATCTATTCTTTTCTGCTCTTATTTCTATACATAAGATAGTACCATAAAACAAACCAATCAATTACACCTTTATATAGAAACTTCTGATTCAAACATGCCCCTATAGTTGATAATTAAGATTTCTCTTTTTGAGTTACTTTTCTTCAATACTAACACTGTGATCAAGTTGTGTGGCTCTGGCCTAGTCACGTTTTCCATGTTCAATTAGTTTATTAGTTTATAAGAATGATCTGCAGATTGTTCTTTCAAAGTACTCCTATCATTCCAGCAGTCTCTTTTCAATCTCCTACATTAGATATTAAATTAAATTCATTAATGCAAAGAAATTAAAAGCCATCCTATATGTCCTTCATCAGATGAACATAGTAACTTTAATGATAGAAACGTCTGCCTGACATCTTAAAATCTTTTTATGTCTTATCTTGAAGAGACTCCTCATTCATTTGTTTTAATATTATGGAAAAAGCATGCAGCAAATTATCAGGTAAAGTCAAACAGATTGTATGAACATTGTCAAGGGGCTAGACCCTTGGGTTGCATCCTGCATCAAAGCAAGTTATCTTGTTTTAACTAATATCATCACTACAGGCATTTTCACAACCAATCACACCAACTTCACCTGAAATGTCAGCACAGTGTATTATTGTGCATCCTTTTGATGCAGCCTAGTTTTGCATTGGGTTCCTGAAGTTGTTTTCCATTTCGCAATTGTCAATAGGCAGACCATAAGAAATACTTACAGATTATTGTTCAACTTTAGTATATTCAACTTCCTTATTTATAAACTAGTTAACTCAATTTGTGTTCTTTTGTGTAATGGTGTAGAATTATAACTTCTTTATTGGGTAGTCAAAATCTAAAGATGTTTATTGGAAATTGGGCAATTGCGTCATTAATCTTTATGACCTTTAAAATTTTGAAACATGACTCAAGTTCCTACGATTTCAGTTCAGCTTTGAAAATAATAACCATAATTGACTAGTATATTCCCTACAAAGAAAAAAATCAGGCGATGCTTATTATTTAAAATCAATGGCACATTACAAATTATTAAAAATAGCTAAGATAAGCCAACTAATCAATGATTCAATGTGTAAAAACTGAAAGTGAAACTTTCATAAAGTCATTAGTTTCAAGATCTTATGAAAAAATGCTATTGTATGTTGAATTTGAATTTATGCAAAAACATTATATAAAATGGAAATACAGTAATACAGCAAGGAAAATCCATGTAGAGAACCCTTGCTTTCTCTTACTCAGAAAGACTGTCAAATGTGAGAAAAGGCCCTTCTGCATATACACTTGAAAATTTTTTTCTTTGGTTTCATCTTGAATTCTATAAAGACATTCTTTAAATGTCTCCAACATTTATTTTCAAGCTGAGGATGGGAGTGATGTTGCTAAATCTATCATTAATTTGAATTTAGTAACTTCCATGTTTCAAAATGCTCCCAAACTTGCCAGTTTTGCATAATTTTATATTGTAATTATTATAATACACATATATTTGGTAAATGACAGTAGAATTAAACATTGAACTACATTGATTTAAAAATCAAAGATTCACACATTTGGTATTTTATTTAATCTGCATATGCAAACAGACTTTGGCAAAGCCAAAGTTATTATTTTGAATCTTACTTTTTGCTAACACATTTTCTGTGAGAAGAGATGGTTTTCTTCTTCATCCTTTCAACTAGACCAGTAGTTCTCAAACTTCCTGATGCTGAGACTCTTTAATATAGCTCCTCATGTTGTGGTGACCCCCAACCACAAATTATTTTGTTGGTACTTCATAACTGAAATTTTGCTACAGTTGTGAATCATAATGCAAATATTAATAGGCAGGATATCGGATATACAACCTGTAAAGAGATCATGACCCACAGGTTGAGAAACACTGCACTATATAGAAGCAGCTCTGGCTTCTATATGATATACGAACTGCTCTTCAGTACCAATAATTTTCTTTACTATAGTTCTTACTTCATAACTTGTCGCCTTTCACATTCTTATATTTCTAAGCCATCTCTTGAAAAGAACCATCATAGTTCTCTTTTACATTGCTGCATCTTGACTGAGAAAAAACTGGACTCAGATATTAAAGTTCTGCCTATAAGACTGGAATTGTTTATTCCAAGAATAGTTGGTCAGGCAGTTAGCCTCTGGGTCATATAAACTTGGCCTCTGAGTATGAAAGTACAGAGGTTTGGGGGACTATAAGAATCTTACCTTTGATTTTCTTGGAGTTTAGAAAATGAGCTTTACTGACCCAGTGAAGATACATAGTATAACTGGTACCTATGGAAAACATTTTCAAAAAACAAACAAGATTTTCAGAACAACATATATTGAGAAAATTTAAGAATTCTAAAGGTAGAAATGGGCATTGGTTATTGGCTTATCTTTTCAATCATGCCATTCACACAACCCCTCTTGGGTTCCAAAATCAATCACAAAAATTTGCAGTAACAATGAATACTCCCCCAAAGAATGAGGTAAGTATCCCTTTTATACCACATGCTGGGTTATGTACAAAGGTCAAGCCTTTGACCAAGCTAACACATCAGGACACTAGAACCTCCAAGCAAGGCACCTGGAACCCCCACATTTTGTTCCAGGTTTTAAGAGTTACAGATAATCCTTGCTTTCTCTCTTGGCAATGTTCAATGCTTTTAAAAGAGGAGTCATTCCTTTTGAGCCCATATAACTATCCCTAACAGTGCTGGGCAAAGGAGGGTGCTTCTTCATCCTTCTCCCAGATGGTCCCTTTATCTGTTGGATACCTAAAGAGGAATCTGAATGACTGGCTGCTTAATGTCAAGAAGGCCAGCACATAATCTCTTTCAGCACCTAATTCCTTCGTAACCTCTTTCTCCTAGGTAATTCCCTGTTCCCTCTTCCACTTCCCCAATTCCCTCCCAATTAGGATACGGGTTTTTTTTTCTCTTGCTCTCTCTCTCACTTTCTCTTTTCTGTATCTCTCGGAAATCAGACAGGAGTTCAGAGCACTTTCACTACCTTTTATGAGGTAGATTGTGATGTCATAGATGGGGGCAGGGCTAGTCAACTTTCTACCCACCTCCCAACCTGTGCTGAGGGAGCTCCAATCGGGAGTGGAAGCAGTGACTCCTCCATGGTAAGTAACTTCACTTTATCATCTAATATCTTTGTTGTAATTATTAATTCTGAAGAGCGGGTGGGGGTACAGATGGGCTAGAATTCCAGGCAAATGAATATATGCAAGCTGAAACACTCTTTACATAATCAACTTTGGGCAAAGGCCCTGTTTGTTTTTGAGAAGGGTTAGGAATCTGAGCAGAGATAAACTTCCACTGTGATCCAGACTTGAGAAGCACACATAGTGTTGCCATTGCATTTCAGTCTTTCTTCCCATCAGGGCTGAAAGTACGTAATGTGTGATGCATCTACCCTGCCATCTCTGTGTACTCCCCTGAAGAAAGCTAGCCAAGAGGATATGCTGATTATTTGTCTTTAAAGAGTATTGCAGGGCCATACAATGTCCTTTATTGATGTTGGCCCTGAGACTTTTTCAACACTTCTAAAATCATGGGGGGTAACAAAGCAAACAAACTGTATTTTCAACGTGCTTGATTTAGGTGTTTTTTTTTTTTTTTTTTAAGAGGAAAGCTTCCAAATGCCATGACAAATTTGACTTTTTTAATGAAAAAAGTCGCCACTCTTGCAAGCTTAGGGCATGCCATTTTTAAAGTGTCACAACCAAATATACTATCGTTTTTGTATGTTATTGTTGCTGTTCCGTGTTGTAACACTGCTGTTTTTATTGGGTCACTTGGTGAAGACGTTGGGAAAGCTGCTGTTCTTTGAGTTTCTGTTGCTGATTAGCTCTTTATATGCCTTACTGTTTAGAGAGAAAAGATGAAGTAGAATGAGCCTTTCTCTTGGCTTCTTTCCTTGTTTTTTTCCTGGGTACTTATTAAAATGCTGGAGCTGGAAGCTTTTCTCTGAGAGGGCAAAAAGGGATCATGAATGCAGTTACACCTTTCAGGGAATCGGAAGGACTAGGATTT